TTTTTTTTTGATTTCCTGAAAAATTGATTCTCCAAAATACATCCCTGATAATCACCCTTGACTAAAATGTAAACCATAGGCTAAAATACAATTTGGCAACGAAGCGCGTACAAGGGACGAACTTTGGCAACCTATCCTGAGTCTATTTTATCGGTTTCACCAACAGATAATTCACGCTAATTAACAGGTATCTTAAAAAATTATGTAAAAAAAAATAATTTCCTATATTTTGAAACGGTGCTCAAATTTGCGGATTTTTGAAAAGTGTTTTAAAACGCATTTTTATCAAAACGTTTTTAGGTGGAGATTGCCTCTTCGTGAAAAAATTTTAACAAATTCATTATTAAAGGAGAGACATTCACATTAAAATAGTTGGTATTTTAGTATTCAGGCCTATATGTTATTGTCGTTACGGCTATTGTTTAGAATAATTCTTTTACAGACTGTGTTATTAAATAAAGGATTCATAAAAGTAGGTCTAATTCAAGTTTACGTCGGGAGCATGTTGTTATTACTTTCGATGTTGCCCGGTTATCAAAGTACAGTACACTCTTAAGTATATTTGTATCGACCCCAAGTATTTCAGATAATGGCAGTAATATAGTTAGTTTCTTTCCTTTATTGCTCTATGATCTTTCAATTTGAAAATGGTTCTTCCTTGGGCTATTTGTATTATATATTTTTGTACAATATGTGCATCAGCTAAAAAAAAAATAGCCATCATCAGTGTAATTGGTAGTCAAATGCCAATATGATGTTGAATGATATTACGCATCTGGTTTTTCTGCACACAGAAGTTGAGCAGTCGACAGCGGGCAGCAGCAGCAGACCAGACGATCCAGATACAATGAGTACGTACAAACCCTTTCCACACACACACACCATCCAAAATCCGAAGTGTGAGTTAATTGGCCGGGCGGTTAAGTCCGGGGGCACAGGAACCTAACCTTTCAGCTATAATATCTGCGCTGGTTCGTAAGGCTCACACGCCAATGGTTCCGTTGGTGGATTAAGTCTTCTCGTATAAGGGCTTTAAAGGCCCAGTGTACCCAGTATCGTACATCCTTCGAGAAGAGTAGAGGGTTACCCCGGTGTAGGCCTACTGGTCCATTCAGTCCCCTGTTGTGATATGCCACGTAGGATAGTGATTAAGTTCGCTGATTGGCATATACTTGGCTCTCGTGCCTAAAGAAATGAAATGGAAAAACAGGGATGATCCAGTGGTGGGTGGGGGAAGGCTGGCACGCCCCCTCCCCTCCCCCGTTTTGCCTGGAAAAGGTCCACATGATAATCGAGAATGTACCGACTGCTATCAAATTTACTTTCTTTAATACACAGTTTTTAAAGATAGTTATAGTTTTTCACGCAGTACAAGGCTGAATTTCATTGCAAGCCTTTTTAACCCCCTTAATACAAAAGTTGTGATCCAAACGGCTCTGACCCTTGACCCCAACGAGAATATTATCATCACCATCATCATTATCATTCTTATTATCATTATAACCATTAAGCTCTGTCTACACTATCAAATTATATGTGACAAAAAATGTGATGTGCCCATATATGGGTACGATGACGTCATATCACATATCATCAAATTGTATCAAAGAAATTTGGACGTGTTCTACTCTCATGTTCCATAAAATTTTATGTGACGCTTTTTTGATGAAATTTGATAGTGTAGACAAAGCCTTGCACAAAATAATATACATAATATTGAGATGGTTATAATTCAAAGGCCATTTTTTTTCAGATGATTTGGTTAGGCCTACATCTAAAAGGAAAAAAGGTAGATAGTAGAGAATGTACTGTTTGTAAACTGTGTCTTTTTAATTTAAAAAATGAAAATATTATAGTATAGATTGTTTTTTTTTTTCAAGAAGTACGAGGCTGAAGTTCATTACAAGCCCTTTTAACCCGTCTAATAATAAAGCGGTACTGACAGTAATATCATCATCATCAGTGTCATCTTATTATCATCACAAAAATAATATAAACAAAACAAAATATCTATTGATAATTCAAATGTCATTTTTTCAGATGGAGTCGTTGCTGTGACATCTTCTAAAAGAAAAGTTGCATCTTCTAAAAGGAAGAAAGGTATAATCACAATTTTAAAAAATATGTAGGACCTACATAAGCTTTAAAAATATTGATATTATCACTGTAATTGGTAGTCAAATTGATGATATTATGTAACTTTCTGCACGCAGGTAATCAGCCGACAGCGAGCAGCAGC